AACTTAATCCTGCACCAGATGATTTCATAGGGAATAAAATCTTTCTCAGGAAGCAAAGGGCCCTTTGAGCATAGATTTTATGAAAAAAATGGTTTTTGGTATTAGAACTGAGTTTGCGAGTCCAGTCACACATACATTAGTTTTTTTGTGACAGTTACACATCCTAGCTTTGCCCTCAAGCTTTCTGTCAAACAGGGATAGGTTTTTGTTGCTGATAAAACCTTCAACTGTATTATCAAGAGACTTGTTAGAATGGGATGCTCATCTATCTTTTATCTATTCTCCAAAAGGACTGGAAAGCACACGTGTGTGTGTACTGCAGCTTCCTAAATACCCAGCTTCCTTTTTTTTAATCCCTTCCAATAGCTTTTTCTCCCCCTGCTCCAAAGGATAGACATGGGAGTCAGAAACCCTGGGGAAGACATTCACATTTCCATCCTTAAAATCTTAGAAAATGGCCTCAGAGGTCTCCAAAGGGATAGTAGCTGTCTGTAGGATTTGGGTTGCCTGTCCTTTATTAAAGACAAACAGTTAGCATCCATTTATTTCTTTATGTCCACACAGAGAAAAGAACAAACATCTGTTGAACACATCTGTTCTTTAAAAGGAATTTCTGAAACTGCAGTTAAAGCGTTAATATTTTGTAACCAAAATTATTCAGGGTTAGGGTTGTTGGGTTTTTTTTAAAAAAAAAAAACTTCAGCACACAATAGCCCAATCATGCATTATGCGTGTTCCCCCTGATCTTTTGTAAATGATTATTTGGATCCGGGGGAAGCTTTTCTCAAAGTAGAAATAAGTCTCTTTGCAAATAAACCAGGAGCTATGATTGGTCAAAGCCTCCCGGGGGAACAGTTTGCTGTTTTCCACACCATTTCCTACACTGTTTAGACATTCATTGCTAGTAATTTCTTAAAATGTGAGAATAAAGGAGGAAAGGTTTAAGACTATAAAATGGCAGTACCCCTGAAATATATACAAATTAATTTTATCTGGCATACCTGAGATTTAATGCATCCTTATTTTTGCATCTAGATAAGCATTTGCAGTTTGTATTTCGCTGCATTGATCGTAAAGATTTCCAAAAACCATACGTACTTACTCTTTCCATAAATGAAGAGGGAGCTTACGAAGGTATGTACAGAACTTCCAACAGTGTCTTATTTTCCAATTTCCTTTATATCAAAATAAGCTCACACCTGTTCTCATCACCTTTTCATTCTACTAAAAGCCTTCAGTATTGGAATTATTGTTTTAAGAGTGTAGTTCAGTTTTTGCCTTAATTTTTATATACTTCTCTTGGCAACTTCTGGTTTTGCCATGTTTTTTTTCCCCCTAAGGGCTTGAACAATTTACTAGTCTATTATACATCAGGTTATAGTATGTCCTGTGTTCCAAAACTTCCCTGCCTTCTGTCCAACAAAGCTGGGCTTAAAACATTTAAGGCTTTTGTTTTGGCAACTTTACAATTTCTTATTTCATTCCTGCTTGAAAAAGACCTTTTGGCTTGAAGGTTTGCTCTCTCTCTCTCTTTTTTTTTTTTTTTACCAACTGAAGCAGCAGTTTGGTTTTACAGGTAGTCCTGGAGTAACAACCGTAATGGATCTTGCCCATTACAGTCATAAATCATTGAAGTCGTTAAATGAGGCGCCCATGTGATCATCTCGCTCAGTGACCGCTGTCCCTGCCCTCCCAGGTGTGGTTGTTATAGGTCAGGGATAGGCAACCTTGGCAACCTTATGACTCGTGGACTCCCAGAATTCCTGAGCCAGCATGTCTCAGCTTGGAAACCTCTCACTTTCCTCTCAGCATGGCTGGCTCAGGAATTCTGGGAGTTGAAGTCCACGAGTCATAAAAGAGCCCAGGTTGCCTACCCCTGTTATAGGTCATTCAACAAATGGAACAAAAGAGCTGTCTGCCAAAAGAAAGCAGGCAGATCCCCTCCATGCACCGAAATGGTACGCTAAGCTGGAGAAGAAAGGCCTGGATCCCAAATGTTCTGAGCTTTCTTTCTCTGGCCCAGCACGTTGGTTCCCCTCCCCCGCCATGCATTAGAAAGGAAGAGAAAGAAAGTCTTCCTCTCTGGTCTGAGGGTGGGGAGGGGAAGTGGTGGGCTGTGCAGAGAAGCAAATCTGTTCTGGCTTTGTTCCTCTGCACAGCACATCCCTGCCCTGCCTTCCTTAGGCTAGGGCAGGGGTAGGCAACCTCGGCTCTTTTATGACTCATGGACTTCAACTCCCAGAATTCCTGAGTCAGCATAGCTGACTCAGGAATTCTGGGAGTTGAAGTCCATGAGTCATAAAAGAGCCGAGGTTGCCTACCCCTGGGCTAGGGAGAAAGCCTTCTCTCTAGTGTGGGGTGGGGCAGGGGGGAGGCATCACACTGCGTAGAGAAATGACGTGGCTTGCAATGTTCCCTGCAAGAAGGGAAGATTGCAAATGGTGATCGCATGATCATGGAGGGCTTGGCCATCCATCGTAAAGTGTGAATGGGTCGCCAAGAGGCCAGATTGCAGTCACAAGGGCCATAATGTTGAGCACCAGCTGTTCACTGAATGAATGTTCGTAAGCCAAGGACCAAAGGACCCCTATATAGTGCAGAGGCACTTAGGATTATGTGAATCCTGGAAGGGTGTGCTGAACGGGGCAATGCTGCGAGCGAAGCACCAAGGTGATTGCATTCTTATAGGGCAGTGGTGGCGAACCTATGGCACGGGTGCCAGAGGTGGCACGCAGAGCCCTCTTTGTGGGCACGCGCGCCGTCGCCCCAGTCCTAGGCCTCCAGCTGGGTTTTATAAAACCGTTTCGCTTTAGGCCTCTGCCGCCATGTATATATTAAAAAAAGGTTCAATCAATCAGTCAATTTCAACTTCTCACGGAAAAAAAATGATCTTGCAAAGTTGGATTTGATTGATTGAACTTTTTAGTCCCAGTCTGCCGTTACCACCGCAGCCACATCCAGCCAATGGGCCACACCCAGCCAATGGGCCACACCCAGCCAATGGGCCACACCCACCCGGCACCCGACGATGCATAAGTGGGTTTTTGGTTGCAGTTTGGGCACTCGGTCTCTAAAAGGTTCGCCATCACTGTAGTAGGATCTTATAGGGTGGCTACTTCAAGGGTCTCTCTAGATGGATGAATAGAAAAGAAGTCCTCTTCTGCAGGACATTCACCATTGGAGACCCCCTCTGAATGATTTGTACGGTCATTCTTGTTAGCTATCCATTCCCTTACTTCTGCACTGCAGAGTATCAGTGGCCAGTTACCTAGCAGCTGTTTAGAAGTAATGGTAAAAGATACCCCAGTCTTCTTAGGATGTATTGACCCATTTATTAAACATTCCCAAACAGTTATAGCAAACCAAACCAAAATAGGGTAATCTATTTCAGTGAACGCCATCAAGAAAATTTAAACCCTTCGCAATTACATACAGCGTAAGAGATAGCCGATAATATGAAGCCAGCATCCAGCTGCCCACAGATGTGTTTCTTGGTCTTATGTTGAGATAGAAAATTACGAGAAGTGAATGCAGGATATATTTTTTTTGCTATGTCATTTTCTGACTTTTATGACAAAATAGGTCATAATATAATATATACCAGTGGTGGCGAACCTATGGCACACGTGCCAGAGGTGGCACTCAGAGCCCTCTCTGTGGGCACACATGCCATCGTCCCAGCCCCGGCTCCCCCCATGGCCCCCTCCTCACCAGCAGCCCACCCGGAGGAGTGTCGCCCCCAGGCGTGGCCTATGCGGAGCAGCGCAGCCAAGGACATGGCAGCTGGGAAGCGGGGACAAGACTCTGCCCTCGTGCCCTGTCGTGCGCAGATGATGCTGCGGGGCGCGGGCAGAGGGCGTGGCTGCCATGGTGCTGCGGGGCCGCCTGGGCGATCTGTGGCAGGCCGTGGAGGTGGTGGGTGGCCCTGCAGGCAGGGCAGGGGTGGGTGGGGCGGGGTGTGTGAACAGAGTGGTTTTGGGCCACTCGGTCTCTAAAAGGTTCACCATCACTGATATATACCAAGTTAGGATGTCTTGTTTTCAATTTTTTTAAAGAATATAATTCACTGCTTTTTCCTAGTGATCTCTTGTTCTCCTCCCTTGGACTGCATAGAAGAACTGCAGCGGAAAGTGAGAGAAACCAACAATTTCTCTGCATTTATTGCCAATGTTAGAAAAGCCTTCATTGCTTTGACCTACCAATAAAGCACTGCTTATTCTCTAAATCCGCCTTCACATTTTGTCGCTTCATACTTAGGAAGAATAAAAGTCTTGTAACGACTTGAGAATCTTGGACAATGGCCGTGAAAACTTAGGTCCAGATCTTCACTGTTATTTTGAGTTATTTATGTAACCAGGGCTAGATGGTGGCTATGACAATAAAACAGGCGTGGGTGGAAAACCAGGTGTGATGCACATAACTCTTGAAAGAAGAATAGGATTCAAATGTAACATATCTAACCATAACCTAATAGAATTAGGAAATAGTAACTGGTCATCTGTTGGATGATTGTCTTACTTCATCATGCAACAAAACAACAATCTTAGGATCCCCTCAAGGGGATATATTTGAAAATTAGAAGTTGTTTTTTGTTTATCTTCTAGCAGAACAAATTTCTGGCTTGCTCAGCCTTGCAATAGGGATGCTATTATCTTCATGTCCTTCTAAAGTCTTATGAGTCTGAAAAAAAACAACCATGGTGTAAAATTTGATTACATTGTGTCAATTCAGTTCATGAATAGTCTATGGTAAATTGACTTCCTCTTGAAATTTCAGAAATAAATATCAGTTTCCCTTTCATTCTATTGCAAAGACTGGTTAACGTGACGATTTAAGAGTTAGTATCATTTAAAAGGGATTTAATGTAAGTTGTCTCTTAATTGCTTTGTTACAATGCTAATTCACCAAATATCAGTTTCAGAGCTTCTTATAAATAAAGACAATTGTTCTTTGGCTTCCATTCTGAACACAGAAACGTGTCTGTTGGATTTGTTATCCATATTGGGGTGATTATTTTTCCTTTTGTTTTAAAGCGACAGTTCTTCGTCACTCCTGTCAGTCAAGAGAGTCACTTCTTCCACATATGTAGCAGGAAAATTGCCTTTTTCCCCCTTTCTAGAACCGTACCACCAGCCACTCTCGTCTTTGCGATGAATCACAATTACGTCACCTAAAAGGATAATAATACAAGCCAGTTAATATTTACTTAATTATGTTGTGTCGTTATTTAATCTAATGCATGGGACAATATCTACCGGCCAATGGAGGACAGATGTATAGAAGCCCTTCTCTCTAGTCTTTCAAACAAGGTGCCTGCTCTCAAGTGCATCTCGCATGTAGGTAGGAAGAAAATCAAGAGACACAACTTGCACAGCTAAAGCTGGGTTAGGAAAAAAAAAACGGCGCACTCTTTGAATTCTGAATGAAATTCATTCCATTCCTCTGTCTGGATCATAGCAACCTCATTGTTGCTTAACTCAATCACGGACCACATCTTTGAACCAATTTATGACAAGCTTGATTTCTAAAGCTCCCATCACAAGATATAGATCAGGGATCTTCAAACTTGGCCCTTTTATGACTTGTGGACTTCAGCTCCCAGAATTCCTCAGCCAGGCACGCTGGCTGAGGAATTCTGGGAGTTGAAGTCCACAAGTCATAAAAGGGCCAAGTTTGAAGATCCCTGATATAGACTGTTGCTTTTAGTAGCCTTTAGCTGTAGGCCGGTCCTTTTGCAAGATCAACTCAGTTTCTTAAATCCCTAGCTGTTGTTTTTTTTTTATGCATAGATTTCCATCTTTTTTTCCCCAAGCTGTTTATCTTTGATCAGCGAACATCTGCAAAAATGTTCAAGTTGTGATTATAATATTCTTCCATGTGATTATAATAAGGAAGCCACCACTTTTTTTTCCCTTGGGTTTTAATTTGGCAATCTTAGGACAGCTGTTTTAAACCTGTATTTTCCCAGTCCATTTATTATTGAGATAATTACTATTATTTGAGGCACACAGGTGCAATTAGGGAGGGTTCAAACCGTTACTAGATTAGTTTCTTTTGAAAAGTTTTTTTGCATAGTTAGCTCAAACTCCGAGATTGCTCATCAAAGTAATTCTAATGGCATATATTTCTCTTGTTGCGTTCTGAAACAATTATCCCAGGGCCTGCCCTAGGCAGAACAACATTCTGAAATGACACACAAGCTTTCAGGATTTTAGGCAGATGAGTACTGTGCAGACTTGGTTACCTCTTCAGTCTTTCTCCACATTCATTTTTAGCATCCAGTAAGGGGAATTAAAAACACGGGCAGCTGCCTTGAGATGACCCCAGTAGGAATACTGAAGAGCATCACAAAGAGAAAAAAACTCTGAATAACAAATCAACTGTGATAAGCTGAGATTGGCAAACCATGACAGAGGACCCCAAATAGTTCTATGACATTTTAATGGGTCCTCTTCGTTAAAAAAAATGCATGGGGTAGCACCCATTGATTTTTCGTTACAATAGTTGAAAGATATTTGCATTTCTAACTCGCTTTCCCCCAAAAAAACTTCCATTGAGATTAGGATGAGTAAATGTTACCTTTACTTAAGCGAAGCTCATCTTCTCTTTCTGTGTGGTAGTCATACAAAGCTCGACAAGTTCCGTTTTCTGAATTCTCCGGTTGCAAGGAGGTGGTGGAATTCGCACTGGTCCCTGTTTCTGCAATGTCAAACCCAAAAAATGGAATATTTTTTAATATTGGCCCAGTTGATTCCTTTTTCTCTATACAGGTAGATATCGACTTACAATCACAATTGAACCCAAATATTTGTTGCTAAGTGAGACATTTGTTAATTGAGGTTTGCCCCATTTTACGACTTTTCTTGCCGCAGTTGTTAAGCGAATCACTGCAGTTGATACGTTAGTTGCGGCTAAGTGAATTTGGCTTCCCTCATTGACTTTGCTTGTCAGACGGTCGCAAAAGGGGATCACATGGCCTTGGGACACAGCAACCGTCATAAGGATGAACCAATTGCCAATCATCAGAATTTTGATCATACGGCCACGGGGATGCTGCAAAGGTCCACAACTGTGAAAACCAGTCATAAGTCACTTTTTTCAGTTCCGCTGTAACTTTCAATGGTCACTAAACAAATTTTGTAAGTCGAGGACCACCTGCAGAGGAAGGAAATGTCTCAAAGATAAATGCAACTGCTGATGACCGCATGGGTACAATCCGTTTTCTTAGCAAACCACATGCATGTGTCTTGCCCCTGGCCTTTTTCTACGATGTTTCTTATTTGCAGACAATTCTGCAATGTATCACAAAATACACTATTTCTCTGCTAAATCTAAAAAGAAGAAAGGCTATTTCGAAATGAGTTGTCATGGAAAATATCCCCTCAGTTCCTATCCCACAGCATATTAAGAGTAGCTGCAGTTTAGTGTCTTTTCTTTAAAGAAATTCCAAATTCTAATATCTATTTTTGTTATTTTTAAAATTACCTTTGCAGCGAAGCATTGTTTTGGCTCAATCTTTCTTTGATTAATAGCTGCTCCATTAGTATATGAAGTAGAATACAATTAGCTTTGCAGTCAAGGAACAGGAATAACTGGGGTCAGGAATCTGCCAATAAACTTAGCTATCTTTTTTTAAATCTCAATTTAGACTTATTATTTGATGCCTAGCTTTCTAATATATCCTTGGCAGAATATCAATACCTTTTTCCAGCTACTATGTATTTATGAAAGGGAAACAGCCAGTTTGGTGTAGTCCTTAAGGCACTACACTAGAAACTGGAAGACCGGAAGTTCACGTCCTGTCATAGGCATGAAGCCAGCTGGCTGATCTTGAGCCGGTCACTCTCACTCTGCCCTGGGAAGGAGACAATGGTAGATCACTTCTAAAAAGCCTTGCCAAGAAAACTGTAGGGACTTGTTCAGGCAGTTGTCAGAGTCAAAAATTGTCCCAAAGGCATACACAGACAAAAAAAGAGAAAGAGACAGACAGACGGAAACAGGGGTGATATTAGCTGGCAATAAATCAATGAATAATTTACCTGGCGGGCAGCTTGACCTAATCCCAGATTCACTGGTGGTCCTCATTTTCAAGCTCTGTTTAATGCTTCTCATTGTAACCGGGCAAGTGATTGTCACAGAACTATGTAGACAGTCCTAAAGGGAGAGGAAAACAGTATTGTTTCTCTTTGCCTGTTGAAGAAGTGTTCAACTCAGATTTCTTGGTCAATAATCCTGTTAAAAAATAATCCTGTTAAAAAAACTATCACATTCTAATTCTGCAAACATTTAAAGCAGGGGTAGTCAACCTTGGCTCTTTTATGACTCGTGGACTTCAATTCCCAGAATTCCTGAGCCAGCTAAGCTGGCTCAGGAATTCTGGGAGTTGAAGTCCACGAGTCATAAAAGAGCCAAGGTTGACTACCCCTGCTTTAAAGCAATCATCCTGCATGCCACAGAATTCAACCACAACATCTAAACATTGTTGATCGGAAAGAAGATGTAGGAAGATTTTTCTAAAGTCAGGACTCTGAAGAGCTTTGATTTGAAGGCTACTGGAAAGAAGCCCCCCCCCCCATTTTTTTTTAATTTTTTTTTGCCTGCAACTCTGCAACCATCCTGATCTGTAGCACAGCAGGGAAAAACTTGCCACACCCAAGAGCTTAGCGAGTAAAGTTGCCATGTGTGTTGTCTATAGTGTTGTGTGATACTTCTCTCCAGGGCTTTTTTTTGTCATAGAACGCCCAGAACGGAGTTCCGGCATCTTTTTTGGATGGAACCTTGTAGGGTAGGCAAGGCGGGTTGTATGACGTGTGTGAGTTCCGGCACTTTTTTTTTTTTTTTTTTTACAAAAAAAGCACTGCTTCTCTCTCTTTTTACGTGTCTCTCTTGAGGAACTGGAACTTTCCTGGATCAGCTTTCAATGACATTCTATTTTTAATAAACCTGCATCTTTGAGTGCCATTCTATTAGAATCTCTCTCTTAATTGTTGGCTTTGTCCTATAGGCTCAGGGGTGGGAGTGGGAGAAGGAGAAGGAGAAGGAACCTTTAAAAAGTTCATTTTGGGGCTACAATACAAGTCAGAGATCCTTTTCTGGAGGATTTTTCAAGTCAGTATCAAAATGTAGATGTACAGAGGATGCTATTTCTTCTGTTCTCCAGCTGAGCTTGGAGCACTTAGAGCAGGAGTGTCAAACTGCCGGCCCGCAGGCTGGTTGCATCATTCAGAGGCCGCGTCCACCCAAGCTCCAGCAATGAAAAAAAAGTTGCGATATGTCACAACACATGATGTGACAAGTTTGACACCCATGACTTAGAGGAAATAAATACCCATGTATGAATGCTGCTTTCAACTTCAGTTCGGCATTTAATACAATCCTTCTGCAGCATCTAGTAGCAAACTGGACCTTTTAGTTTTAATACTCCTTTGTGCAAATGGATTCTTGATTTTCTTATTGATAGGCCCCAGTACGTGCGAGTTGGGATTAATATTTTCTAACCCCATTTTCTTGAGCACAGGTTCTCTCCAGGGCTGCGTCCTAAGTCCACTGCTGTTCACCCTGTTGACTCATGACTGTTGTGCTAGGTTTGCCACCAACCATATTGTGAATTTCGCAGACGATACAACACCAGTGGGCCTTATTCAAGATGACAATGAGGGTGCTTACCACGAGATAGAGGGTTTGGTGAACTGGTGTAAGAAAAACAGCCTAGTTTTAAACGTTGGGAAAAGTAAAGAGATCACTGTTGATTTCAGAAAAGGCAGGCACAGCCACACTCCTCTATGCATTAACGATTCACCTGTGGAGATGGTTACCAGCATCAAATTTCTGGGTGTGCAGCTAATGAGTAGGCTAGCTTGGTCAGTCAACAGCGAGACACTGGTGAAGCGAGCACAGCAGCGCTTGCATTTTCTGTGTTGCATGAGAAAAGCACATCTTCCTTCCCCTGTCCTGACCACTTTCTACAGAGGGACGGTCGAGAGCATCCTGTCATACAGCATCACAGTCTGGTTTGGAAGCATCACTGCTTCAGACAAAAAGGCGGTGCAGAGAGTGGTGAGCATGGCAGAAAAGATTCTTGACAGTTCACTTCCTCCCATCCAGGACATGGCATATAAGCATTGCTTGAGCAGGGTCTGCAGGATTGTCTGGGACACTACACATCCTCTTCACAACCTGTTTTCCTTGTAACTTTCTGGGAGAGGGCTTTGTGGTATCCGAAGCAGAACATCTAGATTCAGTCATATTTTTGTTCCATACAATATTAATCTTGTGAACTCTCAAGCTTTCTCTTTCCGCTATGTATTCAAGATGGACAGTGATTAATATGTATATGTATTTATATGTAAGGGTTTAGGTAATATACATATGTTGTATATAGCATGTTTATATATGTGTGATGTATGTGTACACCTTTGAGAGCACGCAACACATTAAGAATGACAGTAAAGGTTATCTATGTAGAAGAGGGGACTGGTGGACATGACTTGGGGAGGGTGTCTATAAACACTTCCAAGCCCATCTACCTTATACATATTAAAAGAATGATTGTAATTTATTTACCTTTAGATCATACGGTGTTATTTTTAGTAGTTGAAGACTTTAAACGAGGTAAAGGTTTTTACAAGGACCCTCAACGTACCGAAGTCTTATTTTTTATACTCACCGACGTCGAATTATGAATCCAGTCTTCCCCACCCCACCCCCACGAGTGGTTAAAAGGAAACTTATTTACTCCGAAAAACGGTCTGGGCATATAAATGCTTGAAAAACTAAACCTGCTCCAGAAGACTATTTGGGAACAACAAAAAAGAGGTGTGTTTTTTTTGGTTTTGCCCCTATCATGAAGACAAGTTATTGGCAACAGAAAAATGAAAATGAAAGAAAGAAATGAAAGGTATTAACAACTACAGAGGAAATATGAATTGACAATATAAGAATACAGGAGGACAGGGGTGTCAAACTGCCGGCCCGCGGGTCGGTTTCATCATAACGGAGCCGCGCCCACCCCATTGCCGGCAATGGTGAAAAAGCTCCAATACGTTGCGCGATGTCACGTGACGTCGCGAGTTTGACATCTGCAGTAGGAGAAAGACATGCAAAGAATTTTGGCTAAGAGCACTATGAAAAACAAAACATAATACATGTTCTAGCTATATATAGGCAAGAAAAGGGATTAAGATTAACAAATAGGGTAGTATAAACTTTAAAATGGTAGCATCACATTCCAGTAAATATTGATAAATAAAACAGTAAAATCATCCAGAAGGGATTAGAAGATTGTAAACTTCACTTACAGCCTCCTGCCAAACCTGAGAATATGTAATATAATAACTGACATGGTGTGTACATACCAAGATGTAACCACCTTCAAGTAGGTTAACCAGTAATCAAATGTTTATGCTGAGACTGGACTATTTCTGACTATCCATAACCAGATCGGTTTAGAATGAACAACAATAATATCTGATTTCCATTACTCAGCTATAGGATTAAATAAAACAGCTGAAATAATTCTGTATATATATATAGAATCATCTTATGGACATGTAGTACCATAACCCATATCATTACCTTTTCTTTCCATTTTGAAATGCAGTCATTCCAGACATCAGATGGTTTAGGCTTCTTTTCAATTTCAGCTAGTGCGCTCCCCAATTTGAAATGATTTGCTTGTAGAAGGGCAGCTTTCAGAGTTGCCTTTAATATATATTTTTAAATACATGTAAATAACAAATATTTTGATGCACAAATTTTGTTTTCCCAGTTCTGATTATTTGGAGCAAAGGGAGACACTGAGACTAAATCTTCTACCTTTAAAATACGGTTAGTCCTCATTAGCAACTGCAGGAACCAGCAACTTAGTTCTTAAGCAAAGAGGTCACTTATTGAAAAATCTCATGGCCACTGTATTTATGATTTTACTTAAGCTTTGCTTTGCTTTATAGCTCCCGAAGGATACAGCTCAAGACAGGTGAGTCCAAAGGGCAGGGTAAGTTTCTGGAACTTGACTTCTAAGGGAATTGAGTCAAAGGGCAACACTTAAAATCCTTTTTCTCTACTCCTCTGCCCTTTTGAATGCTCACCCCAGTGTCAGGATAATTAACGACAAGTGAATTGATGTTTGTATTTACATTAATTGGAGAGAAAGGGATTACATGAGAGTAGGGAGGGATACAGTGGGGAATTCACTTTGAAAAGAATGTGCTAGTGGGAATCCTGGTTCACTTAGCAAGCAAACAAAAGCAGAAGGTGTGAAACTGATTAAAGTCTGGTCAGTTACAGGCAGCAGCTGTAACTGCTGTAATTAAGTTCCCAGAGTTGATCTTGTTAACTTGCAGTTAAGACTTTTTTTTAGGGATGTGCTGTGTTGCATAGAAAAGCAGCTCAGGAAGAGATAGTTTGTTTAGGCAATCTCCGCTCTGCAAAGGGAAAAAAGGGTCAGGTGCAAGACAACATGTACTGACTAATGGTGAACATGTGACTGAAAGAGAGAGAATTGCTGCAAAGGTTGTAAATACGAAGATTGGTCACAAAGTTACTTTTTCATCACCGTTGTAGCTGCAAATGGTCACTGTCCGAGCTAGTTACTAATTGAGGACTATCTGTATTTGTTTTATTATTCTAAAACGATGCTCAAGTAACATTAACAAAACATGTTTGGCAGGTTATTCTGTTTTATGGCCAATGAATCTTCTTATAAAGAGGACATGTATTTTTAATTTATGTGGGATTAAGTTGTAAAGCTCTTAAAAAGTAAAAGAGTAAGAAGTACAAGGCAAAATAGTTTAAAATTAAAATGTAAAGATGCATAAGTGAAAATGCTTGGGAAAAGCACTTAACCTGAAGCTGAAAATAGTGACTTGGAAAGGGCTTTCCTTAAATGCAGCCCCAAAACTGAAAGGTTGTTTTTGTAGTTACTAACCTAACTTCATTGATATATACATCTAGAGGTGCACTCTTAAAGCCAGCCAAAGGATTAAAACCGAAGATTGCATTTCAGCTAAACAAAAGCTAAGTAATATAAGTATTTAAAATGTGAAATATATATTAATTTCCAATGTACCTCATTAAGTTGTGCAATGGTATCATTTATATTTTTTGCATCCGAAAACTGAGGGGTTTCTTTGTAAGCCTGAAGCATCCGTTCCAAGCCTTTAAAAAATATAAATACAAGGATTTGCTCAGTCTTCATAAATTTCTAAACAATCCTGGAAATCAACCATGATATAATAGCATGGTTAGCAAATTTCCATTACTTACATTAAAATATTTTTAAAACTCTTTGGGTTCTGAACACAATGTACCATATGTTAGAATAAAGCAATATACATGCTATTAAAAAGAACAGAACAACAAAAGAACTGAAACAATATTAGAATGTACACAATCATCTACTTTCAAGGGTAGAAGTAGCAATCAAAAGGAACATTATTCAGACACCCCCAGTTTTGTTTCAATTCTAGTGTGTCCTGTTTAATATCAATACAAACTTTAGAGCCTACCTATCATATTTTAACCTTGGAACAGTTGAAAAGCCTGTTCCAAATTGAAGATTTACTTGCATTCCTACCCTACATCCTCAAAGCTCTATAAGTACTGGGAAAGTTCCTGTTTCACATGAATATTAAAAAGTTGGACATAGCTCATTCTATTAAGTAGAATTTTTGCCCTTGTATCCATTATTGATCCATGAACTTGACTGGGAAAAATTTACATTATTTTTTTATTAAATTCTAACCTCTAAGTTAATTCTTTTTATTCATAGGCAAGAAAGTACTGTATGGCCTCTAAACGCTCAAAAAAATATTAACTTCAATATATTTCATTATCTAAAATTATACTCCAAAAAAGCTATTGTCTTTTTAACAATTTAATGCATTTTAATAAATGAACACAGGTATCTCTATATTAAACATCTCTTAGTTTTTAAATATTTTGATAACAATATGAGCGGGATTGGTTTCCTTTGTAATGTAATCACTCTATCTCTCTATCATCTATATCTATTATCTCTCTCGCTTTATCATCTATCTACGATATGGATAGATAGCAGATACAATAAAATAAAATATGTAAATTTATGTAAAAAGACTCTTCCAAAGATGTCTGAAGTCACCTAAGAGTTTCCCCAGGGTACCGTGTTTTTTACCGTGTTTTTTAAGGCATTTACGATAGTCGATTTCCCTGGTTATTTTAGGTAATAGGTTCCCCTTGTTTGACTCTCAAAATTTTCATTGGGCTTCTTTAACTTTGGAAGAGCTACCATAGAAAGGCACAGACTAGATACACCTTCTCCTTGTGTAAATGATCAAGTATAAAATGCTTAAAATGTGAGGTAACCTGTTTTGTCCTGTAGGACCTTTTCCAAATCTGCCTGTACCCGTGTTATTTTAGCTTTGATGGCAGTTTGTCTCCTCTCTTTTTCAATTAGGCTCATCATATCTTCTTCCTTTCATAATAAAAAAAAAGGAGGGGAGAATGAAAAAAGATTAATATGTTTTGATTAAAATGCAGGCGGGGAATGAAGTATATGTGTGGTAATTTTCTCAACTCATGCTCATTGCCAAGCTGGCAATTTGCTGTTTATTTTAGCAGCCTTATGAATTATGAAGTCCTTTGGACATCAGCATGAAAGAGTTAGATCCCCTTGGCTAGGGGAAAAAAAAGGCAGACAGATGTTGCTGACAGCCAGAATCAAGGGTGAAGCTCACATATGCCCTCCCACCCCAATGTACTTTGCCAGTTTGGTCTGTGATGACTAGTTCTTAAGTTTACATGGAAGTGTCAGTGGAAAACAACAGGTTCCTTGTTGTTTTTAAAATTCCATTATAGGTGGGTTCATTCTGCTCTCCAGCAACCTTTCGTTTCAGTTGTCCCCCGGAGACAACTTCTGTCACTTTCTCATTAAAAGTTTAATCAAAATCCTCAAAGATACCAGATGAACATCTGTATGTTACTAATAACAATCAAGACCAGCTCCCAGAACTGTTAGTTGTATTTAATCTTTCCTCAGCTTTAGCCTTCACTTTACAAATAGTTATAGGGGAACATTTCAGATAGGCATGTCTGTCTGTCTGTCTGTCTCTCGTCTGTCTGTGTCTGTCTCTCATCTGTCTGTGTCTGTCTCTCATCTGTCTGTCTGTCATCTATCTCTATCTCCTTCTATCCCTATCTCCCTCTATCTATCTATCTATCTATCTATCTATCTATCTATCTATCTATCTCTATCATTTATCATCTATGATCAATCTATCTAATTTATATACGACTTATCTCATGAGAACTCTGGGCAGCATACAATAATCAAGTAAAAAACAATATGTACATTAAAAACAAGCATTTAAAAATATCAAAAGTCAACATTAAAAAATTAGAGATTAATTTAAAAAACATTCAATATATTTTAAATATATATAAAGGGTTAAATAAAAATTGAGACTATGTGGGATGAAAAGTTGGAAGCTGAAAAAAGCAATTCTATATTAATCTTGAATCTTTTCATATGGCAGTAGAAATTTATGTTATTGAAATCTATGTCCCTGTGAAATAGACATGACCCTTTATGGCTTTTCTCCATGTTGATATGTGACCAGAATTTGAAATACTTTTTAAGAATTTGTATGTGGTTAATTAAAATACTTGAATGCAGTAACTAATGTTGAGTCTCTTCAATTAAAAATAGAGACACTGAAATCCTGACTATTCCCATAATGATTTTTAAAAATATCTTGTTCCACTATGCTATCATATCCTTGTGCATATCTGATCTGGTTTATACTGAATATCAAGTGTTATTCACATAAGTATTCTGTGTGGCATCGAACCATGTAGATATAAACTTAACAAGACTAGCAGTTTACCTTGTTATGCTATGTATTGATAAGGTTGCACCTGAAAAAGCACAAATCTCTGTGTGTGACAAGCATATTTTATGGAAAAGTGTTTTAATGATGTCTTTCATTCAACATGAATCAAGGCTAGGGGCAGAACCAGGCAGAACCATATAGACAGGAACAAATCTTGTTGTTGAATTTGCATATTTTAGAGGAGAAAATATATTTTGGTTTCAGCTACAATTAGATGACCATTAGAAAGCATCACAGAGATAAAGAAAACTAACTCCTCCCTGATGGGGTCTGAATTTGTGTAGCCGGGGTATGGTAAATGTTATTTATCTCTATGTAAGTAGAGTTTCTGTATTTTCCTTTAAGTGAAGGAAATAAAGCATTGAACTAAGCCATTGATGCTGAAGGTGTTGACTTTCCATGCCATGATTCTCATAGAATGCATTAAAATATGAGCTGTATTGGCACACTTTGTCCACAGTTAAGCATAGTTTATTCAGTCAAGAGACTTTTCAGAATTCATTTAACACTTTGAGAGTACAACAGACTAAAATTTATTTATTAAATTTATATGCTGGCTATCTCCATTTCCAAAGTGACTATAAAATGTGTGTTGGAGATACACAGCTCCAAAATAAAAAATACTTGCCACTTTTAATCCTATTGATTATTAGAGGCATTAAGAATATGTGTGTGCATACATATGCTGTCTCCTTTGTTCTCCTTTTCCTCTCTGTTCTGCATACTCCTGATTAGAAGACTAATTTTCTTAAGTTCTGCCTATCAACCTACTCCACCGGGAGAAGTAGTTGCATCTCTTTTCTTCACCATGAAGGCTTTATATAGGAGCATGAAATGTACTTACAGTTTATAGGAACTTGTGATTTTTAAGCTTTGAATTCTAGATACGCTACAGGAAATGGCTTGGGTTCTACTCATGTACCAGGAAAACCCCAGGGGAAGGGAGGGGTCAGAATGACAATGACAACCATGTGATCAATATCCTGCTCCTTTTGTATGTATGTTGACATCATGTGCATATACAAAGAATTGCACCAATGTGATCACTGTCTTAACATTTTGATATGGCAATAGCACTTAGACATATATACCGCTTCATAATGCTTTATAAATTTCTAAGTGGTTTACAAATGTCAGCACATTGCCCCCAACAATCTGAGTCCTCATTTTACTAACCTCAGAAGGATGGAAGACTGAGTAAACCTTGAGCCGGTCAGGATCAAACTACTGGCTGTGGGCAGAGTTAGCCTGCAATACAGCATTCTAACCACCGTGCCAACAGCACTATGGTTAGATATTCCACCTACCCCATGGACATTGCTGTCATACACATGTGCTGTGGTTGTGAATGAACTGAAGGATTCCAAAGTATCAAAAACACAATTGGCTAGCTTGTGGTTTTGTCTTGTGCAATCACAGCCAGGTTCTACCCCGCCCCCCCAGGACAGTTAATCCATCCTGCTCTACTTCAGCTTCCAGAATCCCACTTGGGAGAAGCTTAAAATGATTCTTTCCATTATTGAGGGCAGGAGATTTGGCAGGGCACTTACATAGTAGTCTGTTAACAAGAGTTCAAGCTTGGTCTCTGCATCGGTTAGTGACATTTCATTCACTAACACCTGCACATCCTTGTCAAGTTCCGCCTCAGTGACAGCACTGTGAACCTTTGCATGGCACTAGAATGAATGACAGATAAGGTTAGATAGGAGAGCACTTCCTAGCAATATTTAATTCAGAGCAAAAGAATGTGCAATTAACATACAGCAATGAGGCTCTGTCCAAAATGAGAAAGAAGCTGGCTGTAACGATGTAATGTATTGCAGAGAAGCAGGAGTTTATCTTTTTCAAGGTCAAGAACGCTCTGTTGGAAAGGGAACAATGATTACTCTATAAAGAAATAAAAAGTTAAACATGATAATCAGAGCAGTTACTTCAATCTTATCTAGCCATTAACCATTAGGGCTTCTATCTAAAGTGAATCCTGCAGAGTTGAATGGGTCTTCATTCACACAGATTAGCTTAGGGTGTATGAAAGTAGTAGGTGGGAGCATTAGATACGTGTAGGTTGCCTTGAGATGACCAAAAAGAAAAGTGGGATAAAACTCAATAAGTCAAGATCAAATCTGGGACAGTCACCGGGACCAGAGGTTTACTAGAGGTTTACTCAAACCTCTGGCCCTGGTAACCGACCCAGATTCGATCTTGCAACATTATCCTGGGACATGTATATTTGCCTTTACTCAATCAGTCAATCTAATAAAATAGATTCTGAATGTACAATATGGCCACTGATCAGGGGCACTTTGAACCCCAGTGATTATGAATTGTCAGACATACATGCAAGAAGTATTTTTACAAAAACAATGCATTTTTTAAAATTAAAATGTGATTTATATTTGGGACTTGAGCTTTCATTCTGGCTTTCACTGTTGAAAACTGAAACAATATTATAGCATTCCGACTGAAAGACAGGCCTTTAAAACGTGCCCATCCAAGCATTACGATGCGTCTATATTATTTGTTGTTGGAAAGAAAGGCTCTAGGTTGAAGGTTTACTCTTCTTGAGTGAAAGCTGATGGTAGGAAGAGAGTAAAACTCCCTAAGTCAGAGGTCCCCAACCTTTGGGGGACCAGGGACTGGTTCCGTGAGAGAGTTTTTTCCCCAGACCAGAGGGTGCGTGGTTTTGTATGGTGCCTGCATCTCACGTATGGGGCTTTGCTTGTTTGTGTGGACCAGTTGCTGGCATGCTGTGGCCCGGTACTGGTCCACGGACCAGGGGTTGGGGACCCCTGCCCTAAGTGACTAGTTCTAGTACAACTGGGTGGAAACAGTTGGACAGGAGATTTCCTTCCTACATTTTTCACCCATCAGTTCAAGTCATGCTAGAACTATTGATAGGAGAGGTTCATTCTGACTCAGAATTTATTTCATAAAACTTCCCTGAGTAAGGCAGATGCAAAATCAAATCTCGTTTCCTTCAAATCAGCACAAAAAATGCAAAATAGTAACGTAATCTATCTGCCTATATAATGTGGCACACCCAGGTCCATAATGATGCATCATTCAAAAAACTAGATGAACAAAGGAATGCAATTGAAATTCGGGAGGGGGGGGGTAAATTTATTAGGAGCAGCTTTATTTCCCTATGGAGCCTTAAGAGTTGATTAAAAGATTACTTCAACAACATTTTTCTGGATCATCCATTTGTACTAACAATAGCTAGAGAATGCAGTTTGCTTGCACATTGTTAAGAGCTGAAAGAAATGGATCCAAACAATCACTTGGGAAGCAGCTTGAGCTCAATCAAAAAATAAGCTGGGGATGGATTGTGGATCTTCCTGACTGTTACGTAGGTGTGTTCCTTTTAACTCAAGAGTACTGAAGGAGTTGGATAAGAGCTAAGGATGTAATTAAAGATACAGAAGCTCTCAGTGGAGGTGGTGATGCTCAACAGCATTTAATTACACTGCTCCAAGAAAAAAAATGAGAAGATTTATGGCCAATTTGTTGATGCTTTTTTTAAAAAGCACTTTAAACAAATCTTAGTATTTTTATTATTTTTTAGATTCTAATCTAGTTCTGGATGGTCCTTAATCTGATTTTAATTAGGTTGGACTCAAAGAGATATGTACTATGGGGGAAAAAAGAAAAGAAAGCGTCCAGGATCCCTTTTGGTCAAGTGAGAGTCTGACATGACTACACACCAACTATTTATTTTACCATTTTAGCAATTCTTGCAGGAAAAGGATAATGTTGTCAGTCATAGCCAGTATAGAATCGTGGAGTTGGAAAGGACCTTGAAGATCAGTCCAGGATCCACTGGATCATATCTGACAGACAATCCTTTAGCCCAGGGGTCTCCAACCTTGGCAACTTTAAGACTTGTGGACATCAACTCCCAGAATTCCTCAGCGAGCAAAGCTGGCTGAGGAATCCTGGGAGTTGATGTCCACAAGTCTTAAAGTTGCCAAGGTTGAGGACCCCTGCTTTAGCCTGTTTGAAGACTTCCAGTAAGGGAAATCTCATCATTTCAGGGGGCAGTCTGAAAGTTTCTCTTGACATCTTCTTTGAATCTACTTCCTTGTAGTTTCAGCTCTGCACTCTGGGGTAACAGAAAATAAATCTACCTCTTTGTCTGAATGATAATCCTTCAGGTATCTGAAAACTGCTGTATCTTTTCTTAGGCTAAATGTATTCGTGTTCTTTGATTGTTCCTTATGGAATGTTTTAATTTGAACATGTTGATTTTAACTATTTGCGGGGGAAGTGGGAAAGCATGGGAATACATATTAAGTATTTTTTTTTATTTTTAAAGCTAATATGTATGCACAAAAGCAGAAGTCAGCCCAAGCCAAGAATTTGTATTTCACTGATCATCCTGTTCTCAGGGAATAAATCTTGGGAACAGGATGAGCTACTGAAACTAAATGTATCCTGAGAACATTGATGTTGCTGTAAATCAATATGCTTTTATCACGTGGTCCTCTTTCTTGTCAGAAGTTAAGGAAAATAATACATTACCTATGAAATTCATATACTCACATTTGATTTTACCAATATAGATAATAATTGTCCTAAAAGTATACCACAAGCATGTGAAGAGGTCTCTGTTTATGTCAGGGGTCTTCAAACTTGGCCCTTTTATGACTTGTGGTACGCTGGCTGAGGCATTCTGGGAGTTGAAGTCCACAAGTCATAAAAGGGCCAAGTTTGAAGACCCCTGATTTATGTACATGTGTGCCCTTTATCCTGTCTTCCAAAAATTGGAGGTAATGATGAGGAAACTCTGATACAGATGAGAGAAAGGAAAAGAAGCTGAACCTGTGGTAACTAAGGGTGAAAAAGGAAGAATTTCTTAGCCTTCCTCCAAAGAATTAGTAGCAGCTCTACTAATAATTTCTTACCTACTGTTACCTACATCTTTTTATCAGGCTAATGCTGGGAAAGAAAAAGTGATTATCCTTCCATAATTAGAAAGTTGTAGGTGACTCTCTTGCAAAGAGCCCAAAAGCTTGCTCTAAGTTTTTTGAGAGTTGTGATCCTGGGAAGACTTTTTGTCATGGGACCATGCAGGATATTTCAAAATAAAATGAAATTGCTTCCTCTAACAATGCCTGCTCTCACACACAGTTCATTATCCTGGAACGGTGCCAAAGATTTGTATGAGGTCTCCATCAATACAGTTAAAATTATTGGCCCATTTAGGTTGGGGATTTATTCGTTACAAATAAATAATTTTCCATTAATAGAATAACAAGTGTGGGATGTTTGAGATGCTGGGAACAGAAACCATTTTGTTTCATATCTTCAACAAAACAGGGTTTAAAGTTATACTTTGGGGGGGGGGCTTAGGTGTTTTATCTTGAACACACAGCTGTAAATCAAACTAGAATATAATTGGAAAAGAAAAGAATCTTGACTTGTTTCCAGCTGAGGAAAAGCAGACCAGAGATTACAGTGCCAGAAGGAAACATTTGGTGACTTGCCTGGTGCCCATTTTCTAATGTCTGCTCCCATTTCACACGTGTTTCACAGGCAGTTAAGTTCTTCTTGTAATAGTCTTCATCTTCCTTTGCCAGTTTGATAGCAGATTTTTCTAGGTTTCTGAGCAACTAAAATGAAAATATAAATGCAAGGGTGTTTTTTTTATAAAAAAGTGTAATTGATTTCACACAGCAGGGGCATTGCTTTCGAAGCAGGTTAATAGGTGATATCTGGACACATGCAAAGAAGGAGAGGAAATCACTAAGATTTGCCAAGTAATGCAGAAAAATAGGTATCAGGAGAAATGTGCTATTATGGGCTACGGAAGTGCTGATAGATACTTCCCCAGAAGGTAATTAGCAAGCAGATACGTGTTCTTCTGGGAATTGAACATCCTGAGTCACATTACCTGTCTGCCTACTCCACCTCATTTATATAATGTCTCCATTTGGGCATATACCTGTCTGAAGACATACCTTTTTTTTGGCCTTTGGGGACGCCAATGGGTGGGAGCTTTCTGTATCACGGAAAAGTGCTTCATGGTCCTTGGTTAGCTCTTTTAATTTCTTCTTGGTCTATCAACAAAATTCATAATTAGGGTTAATATAAGCCCATGGTAGCAACCTCTTAAGATTTGTTGTTATTCCATGTCTTGGGAGTCCAAACCATGGGCATCAGGATATCAAAAGTAAAGAGGGTAAGTACAGGTAATCCTTGACTTACAACAGTTTGTTTAGTGACCGTTCAAAGTTACAATGGTATTGAAAAATGTGACTTATGACCATTTTTCAAAGTTATGACTTTTGCAGCATCCCCATCGTCTTGTGATCCAAATTCAGATGCTTGGCAACTGACTCATATTTATGACCGTTGCTGTGTCCCAAGGTCACGTGGTCACGTTTTGTGACCTTCTGACAAGCAAAGTCATTGGGGAAGCCAGATTCACTTGACAGCCAGGTTACTAACTTATCAACTGCAATGTTTCACTTAACAGCTGTGGCAAGAAAGGTTGTAAAATGGGGCAAAATTCACTTAACAAATGTCTCACTTAGCAACAGAAATTTACTCTTTTTAATGCTCGTAGGCTTATGACTTTTTTGACACACAAACACACACATGGTGGGCATCTTTGGCTTGTTGATGACAACATTTAGATGAGATCTATCAGTCATTCCTTTGAGAATAGTAAATATCTCATTGTTGTATATTTGTCAATGTAATATAGAGTAGAAGAAAATATGCATTTTTAAAGAAAAATGAGTGGTATTTCATTAAAATTAATGAAATTTCATGAAAATTAATATTTGTGCTTATAAGCACTACAAAATTTCCACTGCCATTCCGATTGAGTCTATAGGCCAGGGATCTTCAAACCTGGCCCTTTTGTGACTTGTGGATTTCAACTCCCAGAATTCCTTAGCCAGGCATGCTGGCTGAGGATTTCTGGGAGTTGAAGTCCACAAGTCATAAAAGGGCCAAGTTTGACGACCCCTGCTATAGGCCAATCAAATTTTGGAGTTAGTATTTTTGTGTAACATGCAGATTTCTCGTATATTAGAATATCAAATCATCAGAATTGTAGTGAGCAATGCAAACCCCAATGGATAATTAAGTGCCTTATTTTAGAATCACCTTCCTTCCTTCCTTCTCTCAAATTAGAATCCAGTCATTCAGTATCTTTTTTTGTAGTCATTAGAGAGGTCCACTTCTCAGAAAGAGCTTCTGAATCCCATTTAGGTAACTGGAACCATTGCAGTAATTTCTAATGGATAAATCACTTCCATGTATTTTTGTAGGAATAAAAGATTAAAACTTGCCTTTAACTGTTGGCGCCAGTTGTTGATAACTGCTTCAGCTGTCTTCTCAACTGTATTATCTACCTTGTGGAAAGAAACACCACAATCATGGGGGGGGGGAATAAATATTCCTTAGGTTTTCATTTTTAATATTAGAACTGATATCATTTCAATAAACTACTTTGGGGAATAACCTAATATATTTAGTTATGTTGGACTTTTTAATGGAAAGTAACTTCTAAATTTTTTTTTAAGCATATTTTTTTACAATAGGTAACGTAAAACAAAAAAATAATCCAAGAGAATAACATTTTGTATTTCTTTCAGTGTAGAACTTGCCAGGAGTATGTGTCTACCATATAAGAAAGGGATGGGCTACCTTGATTTTTTTAACCTCCCCCACCCCTCCACATGGACACCAATATTTGCTAAAGAAATATGTTGGCAAAAGCTTTATAGTGAAATGTATAGGAAAAGGGAGGGGGAAAGGAAGAAAAGGGAATTGCACCAACTGATATATATTGTTGTGCACACCATCCTAAGAACAATTCCATCTCCCATTACACTTATCATCAAGTGGAGGGCTTTTTATGTACCTCGTTTCACAAGATGTCCATTTTACAGTATCTTACATCAAATTGACCACAAAGGGCATAATGGGTACCAGTATGTCTTTAGAGTAGAAAGATTTTCTACCTAAGAGACCTTTGAAATGAGTGTGATCTGTTTTGCCAGATTGTTGATTGGCTACTTAGAACCCTAAGAGGCAGAAACCATGGGGTAGATGCTTTGCCCACAAGATGCACAGAATGGAATAAATAATTGCCACAACATAGTCACATTGTTTTGCTCAGTAAAGGCCATGGCCCTCACTGAAATTAGAAGCCCATCCCCAAAGGCCAGATATAACCTTCTTTGCACCTGCATATTTTACATTTAGGATCTCAAGGAGGAATCAGTTCCACTGTAAGCCAGATCCAAGGAGACCCAGTCACCTATGGTGATCATCATCTAGGTTTGTTAGAGACATGTGTCCTGAGGTAGGGTGATACAGTTTTCCTAGGATGGTTTTTAGGGAGAACCATCTCAAATCCGGGCAATAGAGCCTGATTTGAAAGGAACTATTGCCTTTATAGCGTGCTGTCATGAATGACTTTCCTTTTTCTAATGGATCTTCTTCTTGTATCATCCCTCTTTGTCTGTGTCTCTAGGAATGATCTGCTAGCTAGTCTTGGCCAAAGTCAATTTTGCTCATACTGCTGTATTTGCAACATGTTCAGACCTGGGGAATGGATGAGATTCAAATGAAGGATGGTTGTTGTTTTTTCATTGAGAGATATTTTGATCACAATTTGTGGTACAGGCTTGAATCCTAGTCAGTATCATGGTAGGCCCAAATACCACAAGCAAAATGTTGCAGTACTTTATCATAAAAATAAGGGTTATCTGAACTCACTATTTTTTTCTTCTTCTCATGGTCCTGCAGGATACGATTCATTGGGTTTATCGCTTCTGTCTGAATGGCTTTGCCAAGCTTTCTAGACGCAGGACATAAAATATATACATCTATGTTATGAAAACTTGCCTTCTCGGAAAAGAGTATCATTTGCCAGACAACCACAGAAGAAATGGTTGTAAATATCACCCATTCAATCTCCTCCAAGGAGGCAATAAAACTGAAATGTTTATTGTAGAAGTTTTAAAACCCTTCCAGGCCTCAGTAGACTTTGAATAATGGAGTAGGTTCTACTTACCTGTGTAAATCTGATGCAGATTTCAGCTCCTCCGAAACACAAAGCGAAGTTCTATGAATATAGCTAAAGAAAGACCATGGAAAAAAGGGAGATACATGTTTTTATTTCAACTTCTGAGTGAGCAAATTATAATTCCTAAGAACCCAGGAAATGTGACATTTTTACTAGATTCGTGTTTACATTTTCATATGATCTATTTTGGCAATCTGAGACCCAGGCTAATTCTGTAACAGTGGTTTTATGAAATGAATTATAGAAGTGTACTGCTTAACAGAAATGAACCCTGGAAGCAAGCTGGCTACATTTGAAAAGAGTGTTGTGTGACAAAATGATACCTGAGTCATGTGTAGTTAATGTGAGGACTGCTCCATTTCCCCCCCCCCCCCCATATTGGAGCATTTTGATTCAATTCTATTGTGCACACAGAGCAGAAGGACATTCTGAGATCCCAAAGTTAGATATAGACCAGGTATTTTTTTCAATCTGATCACTACTGTTGAACAATAATGGCATAATTTCCCTATTTTGGGGTGGGAAACAGAGTCAAACTCCAATGAAAGCTCTGTAATGCTTTAACATAGGTATTTGAAAACATGGAGAAGCTTCCCAAATTTCCAGTGAACTTCTCCCTGCAAAAGAGAAGATCCTGGTTCCATTCACATAAACTTTGGACCAAGGCTTTTCTTGCTTAGCCCTCAACCATGTCTAAATACAATTCTTTCTAAAAGAGATTGCCCCTATCTGATATAGGATATGGATTAAAATTAGAAGAATGATTCCCATTTGTGACTGGGGATTATCATTAACCCACAAAAGTACTATAATAGTCAGTGATGTTACTCTTGTAATATTTGGTAATATGACACAATTTTGGTTGTTTTAGAAACATTTTAGGGAGCCTGCAGCCTCCCTGTAGTTCCTCGCAATCATCTTATTGCCAATCATCAGGCATGGTGGTTGGGATGCAATCGCTGCAGTTCTCAAATGGAAAAGATCAAGAAAAACTGTTCTCAAGCAGAGCAATTCTTTCCAATCATCAGAACTCTGAGTTCACATCATTTGGTCAGATTATATAACTACAGCCTGTCCAGGGAGACGGATTTCCTTTTGTCACACCCAGAAGAGAAAAAGACTTGGATCTCTAACAACCATCAAAGGTAACATATCTTTACCCTTGAAGAAAGTCCTGGACCAGTGGCAGTGGAAAAGAGCGTAAAAGTATAGTTAATACTTACTTCACTTTTATTTTGGTCAGCATTTTGGCAAGCTTGTTTGCCAATTTCTCCAGTCCTTTACCGTATGTAATCTCCAAACTAGTTCTGCAGAGAAAAGAATCAATGGGCACTTATTCATCTTAAAAGTTAAAACTTTGGAAACTTCACCAATAGAGGAAAAAATGGGCAATTGTGTATGTATGGCGGGGGGGGGCTAGGATGGGGAGAGGAGGGGACTATACAGCAGGAGATAAAATAATAGTTTTAGTCTTGGCCCAAACTGTGCTAGAGCCTGTGCAAACCAGAATCTTCCGCTATAGACTCTAAAAGTCAGACTTGGGGGAAGTTGAATAATATGTGAAAATAAAATGGACAAATCCACCAGTCCAAAGAGAACATTAAAATGAATAGCTAATTTATATGTGTAATCTCTCTCCCTCCCTCCCTCCTTCCCTCCCCCCCTCTCTCTCTCATTGATCTGATCTGATCTGTTAGATTTTTTTATTTTTAGGAATCAGCATCCTTTCATAAATTTGGCAACTTTGCCTAATTAATCAGGCAAAAGGGGCCATATTTTAGAACAGGAACATAGCAAGTTGTTTTACATTAATCAGAGCCTGTCTATCAGGTTTAGTGGTGCCTGCACTGACAGGGAGCAACTATCCAGGGTTTTAGAGTTTTTTTCTAGTCTTACTTTGGAAAGCCAGAGAATAAAACTTCTTCATAAATAATGGAGACTCTAAACTGCAACCTCTCTTTATCTTGGAAAATTTGATGGGCCTTATGTAAAGAATAACAGTGGCGCCTGAGGCATTTCTTTCTTTGGAAGATTTATATGCCACTCATTCCCTTAATGCTTCTAAACAACTTACAAAATTCTTTTGTAGTGATGAGGAAGAATCCATTGAGTTGAATCAAAAGAACCTTTACTGAGAGAAACTGGATGCAGTAAAGTCAGGCGGAATCTGAAGGTCCCGCACGAAGCATAAAGCAATTCTTTTGTTTTCCCAATCCCAACCCCCCTGATCAGTCCCCCAGCAGCCAATGTGATGCCGAGAAAATGTTTTGTTTCACTGTTCAGGGGGGCAGCATGTCAGGTCCACCATCATTCTCTGGTGTCCTGCCATTGTGCTGAGAGGGGATGGGGGATGGCATGCTTGGGATTTTTGCTTTGGCTGTGCGCTTGGGAATTGGGGGGTGGAACTGTCTTCGGAGGTCTGACCCCATAGCTCGATAGTGGGAGAAGCAAGAGGTTCCAAAGGGACTTTCTCTAGTTTCTTAGGCTGTAAAATTAGACAGCAGGAGATTTGTACTTTCAGACTTGCAAGATCGATGACGCAGCCTTCCCAGACTAATTCTACCTCATTGTAAAGATACATTAATAGAACCTTACAAATCTGAAAATACAACTCCCGCCATCTCTTTCACGGCCCAAGAAACTAGGGCTGTCCCGTCCACTATAGCTGCAGACTATGCCATCTCTTAGTTGATCGTTCCCTGTGAAGCTTCTCTTCATCTATCACTCAAGGTCTTTCTCACATACTGTTACATCTGCAGTATCTGCTATTGTTCATTCTTTGACTAAAAAAGAATAAGGATAGGGGTTTTGGGGGGGGGAGCTTGTTGTTTGTCTTTACAAAATGGACAGGACAGTGCTCTCTCGCTCTCTCTTATCTCAAGTAACAACTAGGAATCTGGGATTATGGCTCATCACTGTAGGTTGACAAATGTCCTTCCTTGCCATTCAGCTGTTTTCAATCACGTTTATGGCACTAAATTAGAATCAACACTTCCCTTTCCTAAAGGGTTTCTCAACTAGAATTCATGCATCCTTTAAAAACATTGAAAGGGAAGAATTTGAATTTATTTTTTTTTTTAAAAAAAACCACACACCAATAAAATGGAAAGAAACAGAACACAGAGAGAAATTATGCTTTACCTGTAACGGCCAATTCATTCTCTCTGCAACCGGGAAATAGAATAACAGAGTTGGAAGGGACCTTGTAGGTCAGTGGTGGCGAACCTATGGCACGCGTGCCAGAGGCAGCACTCGGAGCCCTCTCTGTGGGCACGTGTGCCATCGCCCCAGCAGAGTTTGCCAGAGTAGCGAGCACATGACATTTGGAAGCGACAGGGCAGGAAGTGAGCGAGCAAGCGGCGTTGGCCCCCCAGGGATGCCCCGGATATGGCGAGGGACTGGCCCCTGCCACCCTGGCCCCGGCCATGCTCACCCAGTCTGCCGTGACCACTGCAGCCACGCCCACCCAGTAGGGCCACGGCCCACGCCACCCCTGAAGGCACCACAATGCTAATGCAGCCCTGGCACTTTGCGATAAATAAGTGGGTTTTGGGTTGCAGTTTGGGCACTCCGTCTCTAAAAGGTTCGCCATCACTGTTGTAGGTCATCCAGTCCAACTCCCTGCCCAAGCAGGAGACCCTACACCATTTCTGATAGATGGCAGTCCGGTCTCTTCTTGACAGTTTCCAGTGATGAAACTCTCATAATTTCTGAAGGCAAACTGTTCCATTGGTTGATTGTTCTCACTGTCAGAAAAGTTCTCTTTATTTCTAGGTTGAATCTCTCCTTGATCAGTTTCCATCTGTTATTCCTTGTCTGGCCTTCAGGTGATTTAGAAAACAGGTTGACCCCCCTCCTCTCTGCTGGAGGCAAGGTGGGCAGTTCGTTTAGCTGTACCCAGTGCTGGTTTTATCCCTATGCATGCACAGGCATTGCCCCTCCCTCCCTCCAAAACAACAACAACAACAACAACAATGAAGCAAAATGTTTAACTAGTTCCAACAGGTCATTTGGAAGGGGTTTGATTGTTGCTAAGTTTTTAAGAACATAAATACTGCAAAAATTGTTTATACTCTCAATCGATAAATATTCATTTCCAGACAGCATGAATCCATCACCGATGGATAAATAATTATTTAGCTGGACTTGGAAGGATGTTAATGGGATTTTGCACCTTGTTTCAAAGAGTAATTTTTCTTTCGCAGACACCTCTTTAGGGACAGAGGATGGATTTTAACTTTTTCAGAACATCCGATTTAAAAAAAAAAATAACTCTCTTCCTCTTCCAACACATGCGGCTCCTTGTACTGTATTTGTCAGAAGCTTCCTGTTATTCTGGAAATTTCATCCATCCCCGCTGCTCTATAATTCATGTCACTCAGCAGCTCATATTAAAGTCAGCACCACTCTCCTAAGAATTCTCATTTGCACTGTCATGAATCAGTTATGCCCTGTTTGCCCTCAGCACTCATGTAATTTACATGAGAAAACCGGTTCCTGTCTCTCAGCCACTCTCACTGGCTTTGACCGGAACGTAATTTATCAAACAGGCTCCTTGAATGAGGGTGGAGCAGGAGAGGACTATAAGAAAACATCTAGGGCAAATAACAGTTAAAACAGTTATTACAGCCACCGGTGATATAACTGCATCCTTTGAAGGCACTGATCACACATCAGACACAGATGTACATATGTCGAGCAGTTTCTCTTGAGTATCCTTGATTTGATAAGGTACAATTGAATATCTAAAGCAGCCTCAGTTGAAATACTCTGAGGTTTGAATAATATTGGGTCCATAGGTATCTATTCTTTACTACAGGCAAGTGAAAAAACACTAGCACACTCTTCAGGAAAGAGACACACAACTCAGGGGTGCACAAGCTTTGCAGGCAGTCAAAGCTTGCCGACCTTGATAGCTCTTGTTTCAAATGATAAGGTGGCAAGTGGTGACACAGAGCCTGAGAGCTGGTAGGGGAGAAATTACCTGCTTAGCTTGCTGAGATTAAGAATTTTGAGATTAATTTAAATGGCAACTTTGAAACAATCCCCAGTTAAAATCAGAATGGCATCAAATAAATACTTGGGGAGAACCCCGCGTTCTAAGATGTAATCTAGAATCCAAATCTTTTTTGATGAACTGTGTAGGAAGTCAGCCCCCCCCAAAGAAGGAAATATTAAAAAGGCAGAATATTATATTTCCTCAAAGGATCTTAAAAAGGCAAGAAAGCATGCCCAGTTTATCTTAATAGCCCCATGTCTCCTTCCCCCAAGCAGAAACCAGCTCTGTAGAAATGCAGATAACATAATCTTGTCAGAAAGAATGGAGCCAGGAAGCTGGGATTAGAAAGACAAAGATCCCTAGAATCAACAATCCCTCATACCAAAAATCCAACAGTCATTAGCCACAGCCCCAGGGAAGCAGGATATGACCTTTGGGACATAATAGGATTAACCAACCACCATCAGAATACCAGAAAGACACACTCAGACCCAGGTCAAAATTCATGCCAGAAGAACAACTCCAAACAAAAGCACAAGAAGGTATAAAAAGCCACCACTCCCTAATACATGTGGTCAGTTTTCCCAGAGCAATCTTTCTGTCTGGCTCTCCTCTTCAATAAACTACAACCTTCTTTCTAAAGCAGTCTCCATTTTGATTATTCCCAGCTTGGACTGGACTTTGATGAAGATTTTTCTTTCAATAACTGGTAGAACAGCTACTTCTCACATCACTCCATTAAATTGCATATCTGAAGTGGATTCATTTTTGACTTCAGGTTTTGTGTGAACACAGCTCTTGTGCATACATTTATCACTTACTGTGTTATGTATGAACACAGGCATTGTGGTTTATTCAATAAACCATGATTAAAACCAGCCATGACTTCCTGCAACGTGTGAATCCAACTAGTTACTGAGCCAAATGCACGCTTGATTCAGAATCAGGCTGTTAAGAACAGTTCAGCTCCTAAAAAGTTGTGCATTAAATTTTCTCAGTATTATGAAAATAACTTTGATGCTCCAGCATCTATGAAAGGAAGAGCAGTGATTTTTGTTCAACTTCATTTCCCCCTCCCTTTAACTGCACAGATGGTGAAATGTTTCATTCTATTTATAAAAGCATCATTTTCATAAAGACATCTCATACAAAAGAAATCCTAAGGTTTAAGATGCAAGACAAATCTTCAGTGGAGTGGCAATTGCTTTTTAAAAGGTACAGCTAACGAAAGCCACAGTGCTCAAAATATTTGACAAGAAAATGAATTGGGTTTTCAGGATGAAATAAGCTGCAGCTAAAAGTCTTTCTTCTCTCTTCAGTGATAAGTACATCTTAGTAAATCTTATGGAACTTTTGTTATGGATATATACAAATCAACGATAACTGCTACAAAAAGTATCTTCTAAGCTAGAGGTACGACTGATATGAAGAAAGTAGAATGGTAGGTTTCAATTAAATGTCATCCATTTTAAATTAAATGGAACAGTTTAAAATTATTCCCTGCTGAAGTCAGTAAAGCATAAAAATTATAGCCAGTGTAAGATGTTATTCAGAATGAGGGTGTGACTATTCTTACATAACTCCCATCATCAGAAGAGAATCATGTAGGATGAACCAAGTTGAAGAGCTGATTCAATGGTTTCCATGCCAATCAAGACTGCAAAAAGGTGGCCCTCAATTTATTGTTAGATTGTCGCTTCTAATGTCTTCATTCTGTCTCCATGATTGACTGAACCTGCTTGGGACTGTCATCCAACACAACTTGAAGACTATAGGTTTCCTATCTATGCCTTAAAGTGAACATTAGGAAAAGAATATTCTAAATCGTCTTTTTGAGTAATTAAGTGCAAGGCAGCAGATACATTTTGGCATCACTTTTGTTTTAGAGTAAATAACAGGGTTCAAATGAAATTGCTTTGTTCAATTGGGTCTGACGATTTGGGCATTCTATGTTGGAAGTGGCTGATGGGATAGAGAGATCTCCAACCTCATGTCCTCTTGGATTTTAGTCTTTATTTAATCTTTCACAATTTTAATTGTTTTCTATGATCTTTTTAAACTTTTTTATCGTTCTATAAGCCGCCCAGGGTTGCTACAACAGTGAGATGGGCAGCATGTAAATTTAACAAATAATATATAAAATGTGTCAAGTAACTAATCTGCAGCAAAGTGGCAAGGGGAGCACATCAAATAATACTAGAGGTGATCAAAATAAATACAGCAATAGGGGAATTAAAACAGCTGTCATCCAGAACATGCTTTCCCCTTATTAGAAGAGCTATATTGGCTTTCAATTAATACCTGAAATGAATTCAAAGGTCTCCTGTTTAAGATCTTTAAAGCCTGGTAGAGTTTGGAAATGGGGTAACTTATAGACAATCCTCTTCCATATGAGTTACCTGTTCCTTATAATCATCCACAAGATGCATTGGTGCAGTATTTCACTCCATTTTCATGTAGCAGAGCTTATTGATTTATTTTTTGTCACCTTGATTATTTCAAAATAGATAGATGATAAATAGATGATATATTTTAATTTGTATCAACAATGTTCTGCAGAGCTTGTTAGTTTCCCCATTGGCTGGAATTTGCTTCACTGTCTCTTGGGATTCAGTTGATTCAGTTCACTGTCTCTTGGGATTCAGGCCTTTAAAGGGGAATTGTGCCTTGGCTCAGATGTGTTTTGTGTAACACCAATAAAATGAAAGCACCTTGCTCATTCCAGTTTAAAATGCAAGTCGGGTTGATTTGAACTTTCTTGGCTCTTTGTGGAAATGATTTTAGCATCCTCTTTGTCTTCTCTTCCTCTGGCATTTGAGTTCAAATGTTTTAATTCCCATTTTAAATGAATCATCCTGTATTGCTATTTCTGCAAAATCAGTTAGGGCTAATTTTTACTATCAATCAAGCCAGCTTCTTAAACAAATTGACTTGTTTTAACAAATCCTGGCTCCCTAAGCCAGAGTTCGTTGGATTTAGATGAAATGGCAGTCTTGTAGCCAATCACAAATAGAAATAAAAAAATATTCAGTATTTTCCCTATAGGATGTGGCTATGCAAGTTTGGGTAACAGCATACGAGAGCACACTATGATCAAGCCAGACAAACATCATGGACAAGAAATAAAATACAATATTATTCTAAAACTTGACTTTTCCCTCCATGGTATTAGCTGTCCTGGTAACCACTGGGTGAGTAAATTAAACATTCATTGCAACCAATTCATAGTCTCATCTTAAAGCCTGCTCCATGTGACACCAACTCTCTCTTCCTTCCGAATTTTGAAAACAAAAACAAATTCAGCAGCAGAATTTGTTGCATTCTCTCAGGCGGTTCATACATACCTCTGTTGAAGGATAGATAAGAGTTGTTTGCAGTAATTATCTCCATTTTTAGAATACCCTTTCAGCTCTTGGTATGCCTGATCATGCTGAAACACAGCACAGGGATTGAGTCACTTAGAGAGTTTAACATTTCGCAATATTTCAAGCCTACGCTAGGGTGACCTGCTATGTTGTTCTGGCACAAAGCATTTGGAATTGTCTGTACCTGCATGGGGTGTGTTATTGTGTGCTTGTGTGTGTGGAGGGGGGGGGAGAGGAATGAGTGAGTGTCAATGATTCTTCCCAGCAGGAAAACATTGGGAATAAAGGAATATTAAAAGAATAATTCATTTCTTAAACAGATGAACCAGTGAGAATATATCAATGCCAAGATTTGTGAGTGTGCATGCACAATAATTTCAGCTATTAAGGTGCAACAGTTTTCAGCATCTGACATCTCCACCCAAGAAACTGAATACCCGACCTACTCACAAAGAGATATATTTACAATATCACCACACCTTTTTTTAGCATCCACACAAGTGTACATGCCTGCTCAGTTGCCTCCCTCTTTCGAAAATACCATTTTTTTGTGTTCCTAATGTATGAATGATGTTAATTTTTGAAAGCATTACAGTATTAATACAACTGAAAAGCACAAAGCAGCAGAACCTAAACCAGTTTGTACCCACATGTAGTGGATCCAAGCAGAGAAAGAGAAAAATTCTGCTAACTCTATCCAAAAATTATTGTAGATTTTCTGTGAAATATTTGTAACTCCCAAAGGACAAAATAGCAATAGCATTTAGACTTATATACCACTTCATAGTGCTTTACAACCCTCTCTAAGTGATTTTCAGAGTCAGCATATTTCTCCCAACAATCTGGGTCCTCATTTTACTGACCTCAGAATGATGGAAGGCTGAGTCAACCTTGAGCTGTTGAGGATCGAATTCCTGGTGTGTGGGCAGAGTTAGCCTGCAATACTGCATTCTAACCACTGCACCACCACGGCTCAAATACATTTGAAGCTGTAATATATGGATATTATCTTCAAGGATGTTAGTATTTCTCACTTGTTTTTGCAATGCATCTACCCAAAATGAAATTTGAAACATGACCCAGGATTGAGGATGTGTTTCTTTCAGGCTCTCCTCCAGTTAAAATCACCCAGTGATGAAGCTCAGAGAAAAGAGTGACATATGATTTGGCTTCCTGCCTTGATAATTGGTTGAAATTAAGATTCCAGCAAGGATCAGAATGTATAGTCTTTGAACTGGAAAAAGTTAGGCACTTCTGATGTAGGACAAGGGTGGGCAAAAACTTTTACTGGCAGAGGGATATAGGAGGCCTTATACATTTTGGACCCACTTTGAAAGGGGGGGAGGAAGCTACTATTGTTGCAACAGATTTGTTTAACTAGGGAGGAATAATATGTGTTTTTGTCCTTGTTTTAATTCACATTTTTTCAATGTTTTTGTTTAGTTTTGTCTCTGTTTAATTTTTTTCTTTTGGATTTTGTATTTTAATCTTTTCAATAAAAAAAATAAAATAACAGTTTTAAAAAAAAGGAAACCTTTGGATGGTATGTCAGGGCTGTAATTCGGAAATGGGACAAACCCAGGGGAAAAAAATGTATTTGGTTAATTGAACTTCTTAAACTTCACATTAGATTACTTAAACATTATTAATCAGTTTGTTCCAGTATACTGGATAACTTCCCCACCCCAGCTGGTTATTTTGATTGCAGGTTTTGGAGGAAGTCTGCCAGCTTCTCCCACAGATTTCCCACCTACTAGCTTCAGCCAAGTGGGGAAAGAAAGGAACTGTTCTAGGAGAGGAGAGGCTGAACTGGGAAAACAGTTTACGTTTGGGCAGAAGGAGCATTCTGGCAAAGGTGTGTTTTTAACACAATCATTGTAGACGCTATTGTGTGGCATTACCCATATCATAGGAGCATGATGGCTCGCATAGTTAGGACGTTAGGTTGGAGATTAGCAAGCCCGCGTTTGAGACTTGAGTGCTGCCCTGGGGCAGGGTGAGCTCTAATCTTTCACTCCAGTTTCTGCCCGGAGACATGAAAGGAGCTCCCAAATGGGTATCCCCCCTCCCCGGCAACAGTGATGTCACTGGCTAATCTTTTCAACCTGGAAGTGCCTCGGTGCTTCTGACACAAGTGCAAAAAAACCCCCCCAAACTCCAAAAACTCAACCTAAAACCGGCCATCCTTTCAAAACTTCAAGAGTTCCCATCAGCCTCATAGATGAGCCTCAAGCTAATAAACAAAGCATTCCTGAGGGTCCTATGCTGCTTGTGCTCTTTCCCGTTGGGTATCTTCTCCTGCACTTTTTTTAAAAAAAAACCTTTCATACCCAACATCTTCATTTCTCCAGGAGGCCTCCAGGATGGCCCCCACTCTGAGAAAATCACGATGCCGGAGGTGAGCAGTAACATGCCTCAGCTTTTGAGTAGGCACAAAAGGAACTGAGATGCTTGTTGTCAGCTTAAGGAGGAGTGAGTAAGTTGGAGACAGAACTTCTGGAAGAGTGAAACGATAAAGAGGGAAGGGTACTTAGGGCATGCAGGCATCTATGGTACAGCTCAACCCAGTGGCCGGCTGCTCAATCCAGAAGCCAGCTTCCACGTAAGAGCCCTCAACAAGTCGTGTAAGAACAAGGAATTCTTCCTTTTGAAACTGTCCCCTTTCCAAGCAGACATGCAGTCTTCTGTTCAAAGCGAAAGGCAGAAGGAGAGAATTGCACAGAAAGGCCCCGTGTTCTACTCACCATGCAGCCAGCAAGTGGGTTCTTCATTCTGAACTGCCTGTTTATTGCTGTAGCATTTCCAGTTTGGTCTAAGACTAAGGCTGGGTGTTTCACGGCAAGAAATTAGGTCAGATGAGCAAAGCAAATACAAAGTAGTTAAGGGACTAGCCCAATGGGTGATTGTTATCCAGTGTACTTCCTGATAGACAAGGAAAAATCAAAAGGCTGCAAGCAGTTGGGAGAGTGTTTTCTGAGCATTTTTTTTAAATCAGCCTGCAAACAGAACACCACTGTAGAATGAAAAGTGATCCCACTAGGGTAAAGTGGGCAAAGGGTTGGATTAGAACTGACAGCCCTCTCTTGTAATTCAGATCCTCAGTCATAAAACTCAATAGGTGACTCTGGATCAGTTATGTGTCTGAGACCTTTACCACTTCACTGATGGTAAACTTGAAGCATCCATACTGGACTGCACACAAGAAAGCTAGACAATCAATGTAGCAAACATCTCTGTCCAGGTTTTCCCAAGAACCTGCAGCATAACTGAATTACATTGAGTAACTGTCCCTGATAGGTGATAGATTACAACTTCCACAACTTCTCCAAAGTACTGCAGACCCTCCCTTGATGTAATTCCATAAGCACATTAAAGTTGTTTTAATTCAGTAACATTTTCTACTCTTGGTGTTTTTCCAAAGAAAAGTTTCAGAAGTAAATGCAAGACCCAAGCAAATATAGAGCTTTCTTTTTGGTGTCCTGCTTCTTAGCTTCTCCATGGACCCAAGGTAGCTGCCAAAGATATTCAACTCCACTCTCAACTCTTGAGATATTTAAAAGCATATAAGGACATTATTCAGTCTGGATTTATGAAAAGGGCCATGGGAAGCATCCCAAAAAAGGAAGGATCAGAGGTCAATGCTTGTGAGAGATGAAGATGGCAAAGAAGCTGTCGATAAATGTTGGGATAGTTATACTGCCCCATGGGCCATTCTTGATGTCCACAAGGAAATGTGTCTTATTCCTTAAGCCGAAGACAGGCATTTCTGCTATTCCCTTCCCAATCTTCCCTCAAAACATCTTCCAAGCACATTGAACAATTCAAGGTGTGCCCATCTTCCTTTGCCCAAGACAAGAGCAAACACAGGCAAGTCACACCTAGGCTTATGCAACCTATTTTCATTCAAGGTGTAGTAGGCTCGGATTGAAGATATCATAATACTGACAAACCTGTTAGGTAGCTAGCTAAAAAAGAAGACTAGACTGATTATCTTAAGGACCATCTATCTCAATTTCTGCCCATCCTGTATAATCAGGCAGATCAGGCATAATCTAATACAGTGGTTCTCAACCTTTTTAATGCTGTGACCCCCAGCCGGTCATAAGTCGAGGACTAAACTGGTCGTAAGTCGAGGACTAAACCGGTCGTAAGTCGAGGACTACCCAACCGGTCGTAAGTCGAGGACTTTCCCTGCCCGGGAGCGCCATGCATGCGTGGTTCTGCCCCCTGCGCCGGCCGAGGCGTAGCTGGCAAGCGGCAGAGACGGAGCAGGCCAATCACCAGCTGGCCCAGCTCAAGGGAGGTAAGGCACCCGCCGGAAAAGGGGAAAAAAATGGCGGACAGCCTTGCTTGGCGACCCCCGTGAAATGGTCGATCGACCCCAAATGGGGTCGCGACCCATAGGTTGAGAACCGCTGATCTAATATCATCAGTCAGGACCAGGAAGCACATCTTTCTCTCAAGGCACTTGTCTCTAAACAGCATCCTCTCTGATATCCACATGGTCCACATCCTGAAGGCGCTTTAAAAGTCTTCAAAAACCTGGCTGTTTCCCCAGGCTTTGAATTGAGTTGAGTGGCAAGTCCATCATTGAATTTTTAAAGTTGCTTTCAATGTTTCTCTTCTGGACAGATATCATTCTTGTTCTTGTTTTTTGTTCTTACTGTTTTGAATGTTACAGTGCTCAGAATCTTTTATGGAGTTGGGTGGACTTCTAAATCTGACAAACAATAAACAAGACACATTGGCTCAAGAACAATAATTTAACACTGTATGAACCAGGACAAGTTTCGGTTCTTTTATATGGTTTTAAAAAAATACATAGTGTGATATGTAAATCCAGCCAGTCATACATGCAGCCTGAAACAATCTCCATTGTGTAGAATATTGAGAAAAAACATGATTTGATGTTTGCAGAAGCGTAACAGATACCTGAATCCAAACAGGCTAAACTACTATTCCCAGGCAGTCCAATTTGTACTAAACATATTCAGTAGCTGTTGAATACTAAACCAAAAACAAAAATGGAGGAAGGGTGAAGAACATTGCTTGTATCTCTCGAGGAGGTATGGCTCCCTAGTACTCCAAGCAGAAAATCTGCTCAGGTTGGTGGTACAATATATTTTACTGCAGATCCATCTTGTACATTCTAGGTAAGAGTTTAGTCTTCTTTTAGAGTTTCACCTGGATACATAGAGATTCAGGTGAGCAGAGATTGTTCTCCAGCCCCTGAAAGTGAGATGTAACCCCATTGGCCTGGAAACAAATACCTCTCTTGATACCATTTAGGACAGAACTGTGGTCTCAGGAAAATAAATGTGTTGAGAAATTACATAAATCAAAGAAAGAACACCTCTAGGTGCTCTGACCTATCTTACTATATTTGAAATTATTAAAAAAAGAAGCAACAACAAAAATCCATTCTTATCTTTATTTTCATAAATGTCTGTAGGCTTTCTCAGAAGATGAAAAAGAGTGGTGGTGATGCCTCATTTGGAAGGGATTGAAGAAAAGTATATTCTTGAAGGGCCTCCTGAGTGCCTAACACAGTGATGGACTTAAGTTACATGAGGACAGCCTCCACCTGAAGGTTAGCAAATAGTAATAATAGTAATATTATTATTATTATTATTATTATTATTAATAATAATAATAATAATAATAATAGTAATAATAATAATAAAGTTGGAAGGGACCTTGGAGGTCATCGAGTCCAACCCCCTGCTCAGGCAGGAAACCCTATACCATTTCAGACAAATGGCTGTCCAGTCTCTTCTTAAAAACTTCCAGTGTTGGAGCATTCACCGCTTCTGGAGGCAGGTTGTTCCACTGGTTAATTGTTCTGTCAGAAAAAGTCTCCTTAGTTCTAAGTTGCTTCTCTCCTTGATCAGTTTCCATCCGTTGCTTCTTGTCCTGCCCTCAGGTGCTTTGAAGAATAGCTTGACTCCCTCTTCTTTCTGGCAGCCCCTGAGATATTGGAACACTGCTATCATGTCCCCCCTCGTCCTTCTCTTCATTAAACTAGACATACCCAATTCCAGCAACCGTTCCTTATATGTTTTAGCCTCCAGTCCCCTAATCATCTTTGTTGCTCTTCTCTGTACTCTTTCTAGAGTCTCAGCATCTTTTTTACATCGTGGTGACCAAAACTGGATGCNAGCACTGTGTTGGCCTTTTTGGCAGCTGCAGCACACTGCTGGCTCATATTTAAGTGATTGTCCACTAGGACTCCGAGATCCCTCTCACAGTTACTACTATTGAGTAAGGTACCCCCTATACTATACCTGTACATTTGGTTTTTCTTGCCTAAATGTAGAACCTTACTTTTTTCACCATTGAATTTCATTTTGTTAGATAGCACCCAAATACTTTGTAGTAAGACAAATCGTTGATTAGTCCAACCAATTACCAAAGAAGATAATAGAATACCCTTTTCTAGATAGGGTCAAGCTCACTCCAACAAACATTTGTTGGGATACTTTCGGTTGGGTTTCTACACCATGCAGGAAATTCTGTAAAAAACAAACAAACCAACAATGGATGAAATTTAAGGAAAGAGTCTTTATTGACAAATCAGCATCAACTCACCTAAGCAGATTTTTCTATACATTTAAAATAGTATTGGGAAATGGGAGCAGCAAATTTATTTTTTGCCTTCATGGAATCATTGAATTATATGATTTTTTAAATCCCATACTCTTCTAGCAGTTAGTTCCACTCTCCAAGAAAGCAGTACTTTGAGAGAATGGTATGACTCAGACATTCACAGATTTTGCAAAAATGATTTTGATCCAAGGTTAAAATAAAATATGTCCTTGATATTGACAATGGTGCATGTGGCACTGTCAATACTAAGAAAATACTCTGCTCACTAATACAATCCCTAGGATTTGCCTCTTGAGATTATTTTAATAAGTTACAATTTATGAATATCTGTCTCACTGACAGGAGGATCTTCCATTTGGGCGAGTAGAAATTTTCACTGATTCCTCTGTTTTCAATCTGCTTCAGAGGCAAAATTGCTTGTGGGGACAGCAGAAAATGGTGACGCATCATTTTCGGAAACTTGTGTTGGATCAGATAACCTTTTCGGGCAGGAGATGGCTTGTATCCAATGTAAATAGGAACTAAAACCAGCATTATTATGGAAAAGACATTTCCATACTGAGGTTCTACCAGTTTTTATCTGAACTTTGCTTTGCCCAAAGAATTATTTCATTTCTATCCTGACTTTCAATCAAGGAACATCAAGGTGGTAAGAGCAACAATGTTCACACAGCGTTCTCCCATCACTAGCCAAAGCTCCTTATTGTGAGTTGTGTTCAACTATGTTCCTGGTGCCTGAGGTCACAGTTTATTGAACGTATGCAAACGTTTCCATATGCTACTGGAAAGTAAATGGGTTGCATGTGTGTTGCTCAATTATGATGTGCTTTAGGCTTATCATGTTTTATGGCTTGGCATGAAGTGGGAGTCCAACTCTTGTGGCTTGTAGAGTAAAACAAGTAATAGCTTAGAGTGATTTGTGAATCCAACTTCTGGTTAATCTGCTTAGAGGACTTCAGCCTAGGTTCAAGCCTTAAGTTTCCCCCTCTGCAATCATTTAATTAGAAAGAAGACAAACGAAGGCCTAATGCTTAGTATTTATTATGAAAGTGTTTTCAAATCTAAATTCACAATATTGATTGATTGATTGATTCCAAGTATTTCAGAAAAATGGTTATTTTTATATTTACGACAAAAAGGAGAAAGAAGCAAAATCCAAGGCTACACACACTATTCTAATTTTGACCATGGAATATGCCAATAAGTTCTGATAGTTCTGGGACTTTCTCAGACTGTTCGACTATCTCAAAATCTCAGGGG